GAACATGTAAAGAAAATAATATTGTTTAAACAAAGCACAAGTATGCTTTCGTACTGCATTATTTTTAGTTTCATGAAAATAAGGTGAAAATGCAAACAATCAAAGCAGTAGTGGAGTGAGAGAAATTGTCATTGCAACAATAACAATACGATTATGAAGTAATACAACAAAATATTTTAATATAAGTGTGGTACATTTATATATTATGAGTTTCAATAAAGAACAATTATATTCTGAGGAATTTTGCTGAAAATTCAATTAACCAGAAGGTATACTTAATTATTAAAACGTACGAATATAATTAAAGAATTTCTATTAAATTGAGACATATTCAAGTTCTTTTTAAATCAATTAAAATTATTTCCATTTTATGAATAAATGAAAAAATAAAAATGAGAACTTGCAGTTAGTTTTTTTAGAAATAAGTCAAAATGCGCTAAAATGCAATAAACTTCTATGATAATAAATTCTATAATTAATATTTTAATTAAATATTTTATACATATCTCTTAATCACGTTTCGAAATGAAAACGTTTCTTCTTCGTACATAAATACAAAGGAATATATAAATTCTACACAACATTACATAGGTATGTAGCTAATATCGCATGTCATTTAGCGTTACCTAGAACGCGCCTCTAGAGGATAGAACTTCATTGCATTCCCCTTCCTTGTCTATCAATTAACTTAGCAACAGAAGACAGAAATAATGGAACAATAATAAAAAGGTAAGAGAAGATATAGATAGAATCAGAAACACAGGAAAAAGTAAGAGCTAACAGATGACCAGAAAAGAAGAAAGTCTGTTGTCTGTGGGTCAAATAACAACTATCACAAATTTGTCAGTATAGTTTAAGTTGTGTTCTTATACTCATTTCTTTGAATGGGAGTTTAATAAATGTAAGTCTCATACTTCAGTGTTTAATATTTTTCAGTAAGTGTTAAATCTCACAAAAAATAAACTCCACTCACCAAAAGTTACACAAATTGAAATTGGTTACCACTTTCTGATGTTAATTGAATCACGTCTTTGCACTGTAAGTACAGTGTCATATCTTTTAGATCAATACCGATATCTCACAACATTATGTTAAGTGACATTTTTAATATTTTTATGGCGCCCTTTTAAGAATCAGACTTGGGGTTTTTGAGTTAAACGTTGTAAGTAACTCTGACATCAACATCTCATCTCTTCCAAATATTCTCCGTTTTCTTTTTAAAAAGCCAAAAATATTTATATCACAGTATAATGCTTCTTCACAATCTTAGTACCGTGCTTCTTTCTATATAACATTTAACGAAGGTGATTTTGATCGTTTACTTTGACGTTTACCACCAACTAAATTACCATATACTATACAATATACTCTAAACTGCATAATTTTTTTTGTATTCATGAAGTAAAAAAGGTTTGGAACAGTATGGCGGTTATAGAGGAGGTTCTGGTTTTGTATTTTAACAATTGAAAAGACCCGATTTTTTCGTTTCTCCTTTTATTTGTTTCAATTGCACTGTGAATGTTTCAAACAAATAACATACTTCTTTTTACTTTCCAGGAGTGCAGATAATTTTAGAGAGTATGGTGGACGTTCTCATGACAGTTTATATGCCGCCTTTCTTTAGGCTTATTCATAATTTTATCTACAATTTTAATGATAGACCGTACCTTTATAATATTAAAGAATACATTATGCACTATATAGTGCTTAATTGAAATAATGGTTTCTACTGATCGCAGTTCATTACTGAAGCCTAGTATAGAAAATAATATTTCGAGGTATTTTCCATTGGTAGTAGTTTTTTTTCTGTGTTAAAGACAAACAAAATAAAGCTAATTTAAACTAGTTTTACCATATATTGTATTTTAATTTCAATTTGTAAATAACTAATTCACATCATTATAAACAACTTTTACCTGCTGTACTCTTAAATTACAAAACACTCAAAGTATAGAAATAATAGTCCAAAATTGTTGCAAACTACGTGAAAGCTTGATTGCAGGCAACTAAAATTGGCAACTAAAATTGGCAACAATATCGCAGCCATAGACAAAGTTTCTTTTGTCAGGCAACAATAAAACTTTTTAACTCTAAAATAAGTACGAAAGGATACTTGAAATGCACATAGGCACACTAACACAATAACACATACACACAAACAAACACACACATGCATGTATGATGCTTCTAAGGATTGCATTCACTCCGGCATATGAGTGTGTACATGGATCGCTATGCGTTTCTTCCAAAGTTTTTAGGTAAATAAAGAAGCCCAGAAAAAGAAGAAACTTAACTATTACTATTTTATTTGGTATTCCTTTTCCGCTATTTCCGGTTTAAAGGACAAAGTTTTATCTTTTGAAGTCCTTATCAAAAGAAAAAGAAGACAACGTTTAAATGTTGAAAAGAGTGAAGAGCTTGAAAAGTATGAAATTCTTAAAATACCGCATGAAAAAGGTATGACAATTGAAGAAAAAATTCAAAATATCTCAACAATTCACATACTAAAAACCTGAACCCACAATCAAGTTTTATGGGAAAGGATATGAGAGGTGTGAATTCATACCAAAATATCAACAAAGGGAATAAATGTTGAGTACCTGCTCAAATAAATTTCATTCAAAGAGCAGAGCAGAAAAAAAAGATTTGACTTATTTAACTAATTCTGAAAGTACTAGAAGAGAAACAATAACAAAAATAATAATTATTATAATACCAACAAAAACAACAACAACAAAACAACAACAACTGTATAAACAAAATAAAAAATAATAAAATTTAAGTTAAAATACTTTTTTCTGATAGTAAAAGTTTTGCTTTACATTTTCAGAATTTTTCCCATTTGGTTTTTTCCACTTGATGCATTTGTATTGTGCCCCACGGAAAAGTCGGAAAAACTATTTCGGTTTTCGGTGCGCTTCTTGGTATTTCATTTTTTTCTTTTTTCAGATTGGGTTTACCAGTTTATTACGTTCTACCGCGACTAGTTATGATAAAATATAATTTTTGGTGTATAAAGTTGATACAACAAAACAGGGTCCTTCCAAAAAAGAAACAAACAGTAAACTTAAAGATTTTATTTTAATATTCAAAATCAAAAAAAAAAAAAAAATTGTTACATATATCTCCTCTTGATACATACATCATGATTGACACACATACGATACAAAAAATATATATTGTTTTAGATGAACTTGCAGTCTAATAGTATGTTCCTATTGTCTTCGTTAAAGCAGTTTATTTGATTAATATCGATAAAACCATGTTTTCAATGCTTAATTAGTAAATTACTTAGTAAGTTACTTAAGTAACTTTAAAATTTTGTTGATTTCATTGACATAAGTTACTTAATGCAAGAGACAGTATTTTTATGTGTCAGAAAGTTCTTGGAAATTTTTAAAAGAATTTCTATTTCTTTAAAAAATTTCACTCAATAATACATCACACAAAAAATTATATATATTATATATATATTATATTGTTATATATTTCATAATCTACTATATATTCAATTACTGAAAACAAAGATTTTATTAAATACTCACTTTCTCAGTACGTAAAAGCTCTCTTAGAATTTCCCAGATTTTCATGACATATAAAAGCTTTTTCATATATTTAAATAAACTTATAACAATGGAAACGACCAGATTCTAATTTGATTAAGACAAATTAATTAAGGTGTGGTGGGAACATGGTATGATACGAACTTGACTAAAAATCATATTAAAGAAATTTATGACCACCAACCATAGAAGAACTTATTTTATATTTGGCCAAGTAAAGCAAAATTTCAGAAAATATAAAATAATTACAAAATAATTCACCCAGAAGAGAAATTTTTTTCAGTCATTATTTTCTACTTTCTGTGATGTGAACTGCTAATATAATTACATTGCAATAAAAATGGTCCAGTGTATGGAGTAAGTATAATAATAATCTTCTAATAATAATTCAATCTTCTAGCATGCTTACCTAATCGATGACGAACGGGGTCAGTAAGCCCAATATAGCATTGTAGTTTCTAAGGTATATCTCAATGAGATTGCTAAATTATTTTTTTTCTTTTAAAGTAGGCAACAGATATTTGTGTGTACTTAGATTTTCCATTTGAAATGCAACATAAACTACAACAAAAATTATTATTATTTTAATTAATTGAATTTTTGGCTAACCATACAGCTGTTTCGAGTGTTGTCATATACCCAACATCAGTGGTCTTGGAATTATTTCTTGTATATAATTATTCATAAATAATTTTATGAG